CGAGATAAATTCTGACGTACGATACGCGTGATGATCCACTTTTTCCAAGAAGAATTAAAAATGATTAACTTCCTCGTCATAAATTTGTCCTCGAGAGGTCACTCCGTATTCAAACTGCAATAAAAAAAGAGAGAAAGAAAAAAATTTCCTCACAAGCGTGGCATTTTCTTCCCTAACTAACACGCACCATCCAACTATCCAACTATACTTTTTCCAAGAAGAATTAAAAATAATTAAAATCCTCCGCCACATTTGTCCCCGAGAGAAGGTTAATCGCTCCAAATTAAATTCCACGCGATCAACCATTTCCAACTTTTTCTCTACTCGTCCATCCCCCTGTTTCCAAAATCTGTCATCCGTCCATATCTGCCGCCCTTTCGATAGTCGAAGGGGTGGTAGTCGTTGTCCATCCTCCTTTCGAGACGAGGAATCGAAGGATCCACGAGTTATTTACTCGCTCCCGGTTACGCGTCTCGATAAGTGTCACGAAACACGACATCGTTCCCTCCTCCCTCCTCCCTCCCCCTTTTCACAGGATCCCCTCGTCGCCTCGTCGCCCGACGAGGTTCAACGAACCCGGGATGATGACGTGATACCGCCATGTTGGGAATTTATTATCTGACTCTCGGTTTGTCCAACGACCCCTCTTTGCTTTTTGTGTATCGCGACGCGCTCGCTCCTCCTTCACAGTTCTTTAGTTCCTTTCCGATTCCAACGGGGGAGGATCGTCTCGCGTGGACCACGTGGCTGATCGTCGCGCGTGGTTCATCGTCTCTCTTTCTCTCTGCACGCGTGCATTAATTTTCCAACCTGGTACCAGGATACCGGGAGGCGAAGCTGATTTTACACAGTGGCGGATTCTAGGTTCGTGGAATTTCCTTTTTCTCTCTTCTTTGGAATTTTGGAAAATTTGGAAGGGAGGGGAGGATAGTTTGGATGGTTTGGATAGAGAGATTTTTAAGGATATTGATAAAAATAGGGGAATAATGGGTGGTTCGAGTATTATTATTTTAATTTTTAGGATGGATCTAGAATTTTCTGGATAGTCGCGGATGTGACGAATCGAGTTTTTGATGTGCAAGTAAAATCGAGAGTGGATTAAGTTAGATTTGTGGATGTTGTATAGAGGAAGAATTCGATATAGTCTTTATTTTTGATATAGAATTTTGATTGACAAAGAGGGGATGTATGTTTTCTTTTAGGAGAAAATTAGAAGAGAGCGTGAGAGATTGAGTAGAATGAATGAACAAATCGTCGAAATTGATAATAATAAGGTGATTATATTTAAAAATCGTCTTAATTTTTTTTTTAAATAAAAGGGAAATATCCGGACAGTGTGCATTACATTTCGCAATATCTTCGCGTAATTCAATACAGATTCACAAATCTTTTTCTTCGACAAAGAATCTTTGACCTTTAAACACGTGGTTTATTCTCAATAGCTCAATGAATTCCACCGATGCAAGGATTCTTCAGGGATTCTTCTTTTCCACCAATATGTAATATTTCTCGATTAGTAACTTTACACGTTCCACGCAATTCCAATCGAACGTCTAATGTCGTGTTACCGGTTTTTAATTAAACATTCGATATGTATATATATTTGTACACGAGGTCGTTGACATTCTGTTTATACGATTAAAGATCTTCTCTTTGAAAAATTCGCGATTGAAATTCTATCTAGTGCAGGTGTCAAAATGAATGGTAGCCTGATATTTACTAGGAAATGCTCGTGTTACTCGTAAACAGCTTATATTTATCACGATTATATTATCACGAGCAGCGTCGTGTTTCGTTTTATTTCTCTCTCTCTCTCTCTCTGTCTTATCCGCGATAATTGTGGCGCCATCGTCGAATTGCTTTGCTCAAATACTTTTTATTTATAAACTCGAATATCATCCGTATATTATATATATATACATCTCTCGTTACACAATATTTCCATAAAGATCCTTTTAAATCCTCCTAAGAGTATCAATCGAGTGTTCTTTACACCAAAATAAAAATCGTTAAAAGAAGCATTAAAACGTTTCCAAAACGAGCTCCACTCCGGCGAACGATTCACTTCCCTCTTACGAGAGAAGAGGCAGGCTTTCCTATTCTCCTTCGAAAACCCATTCGAAAGTCGCGCGCCTTTATATGGGCTCGCGCCAGTGAAGATGTTCCCAGCCCGCCTTAATTGACGGCCACGAGTGTGCACTGCACGCATGCGCAGCTTTCGAACGGCCTTGCAGAAATCGTTTTCCTGTCCCTGATCGCATCGCAAAACATCCACAGCCGACTGAAAGCCGATCCAACGGATCGAAAGCTGTTCCCCGCCGCGGATTTCACGGGGATTTCTATCGATCCTCGGCCTGGTTACACTGGTTTCGTTTTTCCACTTTGTTGTTGGGAAATTATTATTTTCGAAAGGAGACGAGGATTCCCTCCATTCTTTTCTATTCGAGGAAATTATTCTCGAAGAGAGGGGTTTTGAATTTTATATTTTATATTTTGGAAATTTTGCAAATGTAAAAAGTGTCTGATTGAAATCGCGACGAGGAGGAGGAAGGAAAGTTTCGATTGCAAGTATCCGTGTGCACGATGATACTTTCTCATCTTGGAAATCGTTCAACTTCCAAGTAATTTTGCATCGAGATGAATCGTCTACGTCTTGCGAAACAATCGAGACGGACGGAAGTTCAATTTACCATCTTTTACCGGAGAAATTTTAATGAGAGAAATAAATTGACTTCTCGAAAATGATCGTAAAACAAATTTAAACCGATCACGCGAACGAAACACCCCTCAAAAATTGAGAGACAGAAACTTGATATCCATTCTTCCGTAATGTTCGCGTTATAACGACATTGCACAATTTATATCGAGTAAAAGGGAATAATTAAGAAATTATTAAAATTATTCTTCTCTAATCGTTAGAAAAACTTCATTTCGCGCACAACTTTTCCCAGGCTTTTTCCATTCATTCGCGACGATAAAAAAAAAGGAAAAAAGAACCTCAAGAACGGTTTAATTTGCCGATCAAAAGGATCAACCTTTTAATCGAAGAAACGTCGATTGAACCTTTTCACCTTTCTCCACGATCGACATCTTTTCCAATTGGAATTGGAACTTTTGCTCGATACAACGTATTACGACATGCACAGGTTTGACAACGTAATTGAGATTAATACGAGGATCGTGCAATTTCTTCCCTCCGAAGTACGATCATTTTTAATCGAGAGGAACACGATCCGTTATTCTTTGATCCTCTCCACTTTCCTCCTCCGGGCGAAAGACGAGTGGCGGGCCCTTACGAAATCGATACGACTCGCATTTTTTATTAAAAGAGAAATTAAGAGAATAATTGAAATCGTCACGAAATAATTTCGTTCGTTCAATGTTGAAATGATTATCGTTAAACGATTCAGGCGAGTGAAAACTCGGCACGTCGCGGAATAAATAAAGCGTTAGACACTTTCTGAAGGATGAAGGAATTAAAAATAAAATAATAAGGGAAGAATATACGTTTATTCCATGTCTAATTTCGATTAATTAAGGCAGAATGATTCGCAAAGTTAAACGGCGAAAGTGAAAGAGATTGAGGTGCGGTTGGTATGGAAATTTTTATATTTCTGAAAGGAGGATGAATAATTCGAATAGTTGATTTGGTAATTGTGTGCAAATACCGGTAATGGCGAAACGCAATAAGAACGATCATGATCAACGATCAAATATTTCCATTTTATTGAATCTGTTAATAAGTATTTGTGCTTGTGTTTCCAAATCGATGATTACGATATTTTTCTTTTTTTAAAAAATACGCGAGGATACATCTGCTTATGATTTCCAAGCCACATGGTGTTACGAACGTTAATAGATTAATCAATTTCACTTTGGAACGGTTTTTTATCAAAGAATCCTCTGAGGCACAGCTGTTAGACGTATAGACGCGTCCTAACTCGTCTCTTTCTTTGCCTTTCTCCACGACCAACATCGTGACACGTTGCGAAACACACTTTTTGCCGAGTACAACTGGATGATCCTCGTTTTTACACTCGTTGAAATCTCTGCCGGTGATTTTCCATTGAAACCGAAATAGACAGATACTGAATTTTCATTTCGAACGAAAGAATATATTCCCCTCTTTTCACGAAGAATCGTCAATGTCTTTCTTCCAGAAAAAAAGTTATCATCTCTTCTACAGATATAAGAATATTATGGAATTATTTTAAAAGTTTAAATTTCCATTTATTTGTATTTTGGCGAAAAGAGTTGACGAGAATGATTAGACTGCTTACTCTGTATCTGGTTTCTAGTTTAATTCTAATCCCACTGCACTCGAACAATTAGCTATCATCCGAATCGATCAATCGATAATTCTGATGTTAAGTAAATTTTCGAAAGATTTCCAACGATTCAATCATTCATACTTCCATAGAAAAGATTAATTTGATTCTTGCCTTTTCGAGAGAGCCAGATCTTTCGTTCTGATTCGTGGCGTCGCTCTTTAATTGCTGTCGCGAAATAGCTTCGATGGCACGTCATTGTTATTACGGAGCCGAGTGTTTGTCAGATGGTCGCCCCGCCAGCTGGAATACGTTAAATAGTTTCGAAATTGTTCGCGATCGTAGATTGAGCGGAGATTACGGAGATGCGCCGAATATTTTCAAACGAAGCCCTTCTTCCCACGATCGCCAATATTTTTTAACCCCCTTCTTATATTATTATTACAATCTTTCCTAACTAAACCGAAAAAAACCTTTTAACCGAATCAAAATACCAACCATCGATTACTTGAAATTCGATTCGACTACGAAATCGAAATTTTCCTTCGATCGAAAATCGAGGATCGAAAAAAAAAAAAGAATCAAAATACCAACCATCGATTACTTGAAATTCGATTCGACTACGACCGAGTGAAAATCAAAATTTTCGAAATCTTCAATCGAAAATCGAAAAAAAAAAAATGTGAAAACAATCGACGAGAAAATGAAACGTTCCCCGTTCCTTTGTTCCAGAGTGGAAAGCTCAGCGTTGCAGTTGGTGTACCCGCTGGATTCTCGTCCGGTGCAGCTAATCTTCCGGGGGTTGCAGGTGGTCAAGGAGAAACGATCCCTCCTCCGGGATGTCTCGGGCGTTGTTAAACCCGGCGAACTTTTGGCCGTCATGGGCCCTTCAGGTAAGACGATCGATCCACTCGCCAGATTAAGAATCTTCCTCCCCCTCTCCTCCCCCTTCGAAGATAATCCCGCGACAGATTGGTCTCGAGAGGGGTTCGATGGTTTATCCGCCCTCCCCTTTGGAAGGGTAGAATTGATTCGAGGAGATAAAGTCCGTGTTGGGGGAGGATTTGGGCATCGAGGGATATCCCCGTTTCATTTCGTCTCATTTTTCCGGGGAACGGGACGCGATCTTCTTCGGGACGGATTTCGGAGTGGTTGAGACGATCGAAGTGTAATAGACGAGCGGTATATAATTTATATATTCGGGAAATATTTCATTTAACAAGTTGGTGCTTCGAGGGAATACTCTTGGATCGATGATCCTCTAATATTTCTTCTCTTCGAACGAGATACGAATAAGTACGAATTTGTATCACGATTCTCCAAGCAAAAGTAGCGCGAGAAGCTAAATTCGTGCGACCCGTCCTTCCAGCCACGGACGAAACAAGTCATAGTTGATGAACATCGTTCGGTTGCGAACGATGCAACGTTGAACCCGGTTCCCAAATAGATCTCGAGGGGGGGGAGGACGGACGAGTTACGAGCGCGGACACGGCCAAAACGAGGAGGAGGACGCGAAATAAACGAATGACGCAAACTGCCGCGAAATTGTCCGCCTGAGGGAGGAGAGGGGGGGGGAGGCATGGAAATACGATCGAGTCATCAGCATTCGCGAGAACTCGCCGCGGAACAAACGGTCAATTAGCCTCGAGGGCCCCGAAAAATTCGGGCGAATTCGAGCAACACGTCGCGATAAATTGAATAAGTCACCGGGGTTCTCACCGTTATCCTGCGTGTTTGAGAACGATGGAAGAAGAGAAGAGCGGGGGAAATAAAATTAACAAACAATCGTAAACGTTTTTTTCCATCTTTTGAAAAAATATGTGGATAAATGAAAAACATAGATTTATCTTATATAGATTTCTACTTCTTTCCTCTTTCAAAGATAGATCTGTCAATCTCGTAATAATTTAATCTTTAGAGGAAGGTAAAAACTTTGTATCTACATTTATATTATTTATTTAAATGTTCAAAGGATCCTCAACGAAGGGTCACTTAACAATTAAATAATCCAAAACTACTACATAATACACTGAAAAAAAAAAGGAAAAAGAGTACAAAAATCGCACGAAAAATAGAGAAATCAATTTCGAAAATCCTTCAGGATGGATCCAAGCTCGGCTCTTCTTCTATGTTTAACCGCGACGAGGCACGAAAAGCGCCTGGCTCTGGCGGTATCCGCGGACGGTAACGAGCGACATTTATCTCGATATTCGTTTAACAAGCGTTGCGAGCAACCGCGCAAAACAAGGGGTACACGCGAGTACAAATCATCGAGCAACCTCTCCTCTCGTTCCACGTCGTTGTGTCGTTAAAACGTCTCGAGAGACCGGGCATGCGAGCATATTCCCAAAACCGTGTACCTTTCGACGATTTTAGGAACAAAATGGTTAATTCCCGTGACGGTGTTTGGTACCTCGAGACGCCACCTTTCATCCCTTCCCTCGATTGATTCGGATACAACGATTCCACAATCTACTTTTCTTCCATTCTCGTTTGTTTCCTTTCCTGATTGGAGATCTGGCGAGACTTTTTTTAGAGGTGTTTTCGATTTTCAGATCGTTTTGCGTGTGTGTTCGAAACGAGGAGATTATTCTGAGAAATGTAAATTTTAAGAGGGGAATTTGATATTTGAGAAAAATGAAGAAATAACAGATCGAGTTTCACCTTTATAAGATAAATATATGTCGAGTTAGGATTAGGATTTTTAATTCAACTGTGAAGTTGAACTTATGACAAGTTATTTATTTATTGGTCGAACAGGTTGCGGCAAAACGACGTTATTGAACTGCCTGTCAGGCCGCGTGGGCTTGGACGGGGGTGAAATCTGGCTGAATCGTGAAAGGTTGACAAAAAGATGGCGCAGAAGAATCTGTTACGTGCAACAGCAAGACGTTTTCTTTCCCGATCTCACGTTACGACAGACACTCGAGGTAAGACTTTTTTAGAAAATTATACATATATTTATTTATCTCGTCGAAACTAGATATTTATTCACATCCTTTTCACATCCAAAATTTCGAAGAACGATTGTGAATTTAAATAATGGCGGTACAACGTGAAAATAACTAGGAGAGTCGTTTGGGGATAAAAAGAAAAAAAAATAATCAAATAGAAAGAAGGAAAGAACTCGATATTTATTTACTTATCCGTGACGAAATCTTTTCTCGTAAAACGAGGAACAATTTCCATAAAACCGTTCTCGTCAAATGGCAAAAATCGAAATATTTCCCTCCGCATGATAATACGGGCCGATAAATTCCTACCATCGAACGATAAAACGGGTTCCCATTAAACGAGACCGATCCAAGTCGTACAACCCATCGAATTTGCATCCATGAACGCCATTACACGCGCGCGCGCGCAAAAAAGTGGTCCATTTCTCTAGCTACGGTCATGTCATAAAACAATGGACCCTGAAAAAAAAATCCTCCATTCGATGGATTCCGATAAAATTCGATGACCGTTTGTTTAATAGAATTTCTACAAATAAAATTTCGCCACGCTCGGGCGAAATTCGATTAAATAAATCTCTTTAATTGGATCCGCATCGATGACCATTATATGCGATCGAATAATTCTAGCGATAATTAAAATGTAAATCTTAATTTTTTTTCTAGTTTTTTTTCAATACGTGTTCATAAATTATTAATTTTAAAACTCGAAAAGATTCGAGTTAAATTTGACGATGATTAATTAATATTCAGGAAAAATTGTTTTCGAACGAAAATAGAATCGAAATGAAGAGATGAAAAGTTGATCAATCGATTAAACGAATACTCGAATGATAATAATTGACTCTACTACTCTTCGTATAATTCTATGCTACAATTAATCTACGGTTGTTCGATGTTATACGTTGAATATTGATAAATTATTAAAATTTTACTCATTTCGTGTTAGAAAGTTTTATACGCGTTTTACAAAGGTTCAACGTTCGTTCGACCTACGTGGAAAAATGAAAAATCGTGCAACAGAACGATTCGAGGTAAGGAATAATCACCGACCACGCAAAAATGAAACGCCTCATCGCCGAGGAAACTCGTAAATCCTCCATATTTACGTGGCAGACGCGCAAGTAGAGGCGGACCGGCATAGTCAGACACGCTAGACTTGCGATCACGGCGGGGGCGGTTTGCGAGATTGAGAGGCAGAATTGAAATTACTCGAAACGGAGTGAAAAATTAATGGAACTAAATTAATTTGATCCGAATCTCGAATAAAGTTACATAAAATGCTCGAATAACGTAGCTACATGTTGTAACTTTGGCCACTCTTCGACTCTGCAACCTCGAATAATTCGATGCTGCGATTAACTACGGTTATTCTGATCGAACGATAAATTGTTCAACCGTGATTCTTAATTTCAACGAGTTAAAAGTTTTACTCGTTTCCGAACAGGAAGCGGCCGATTCTGGCGTGTCGGTGTTTCCTCGTATTTCCTCGTGGAACGCCGTGTGCCAAGTTCCGCGCGAAATTTATTAAAGTTCACGGTAGAAAATTAGGAGGAGACCTCGAGGTTGGGATCGTGTGGAATGCGGGCCAAGAGCCAAACAACGAACGCGTACCATTCTCGCGAATTTAACGAGCAAGAAGGAGCCACCCATTAACGAATTGGCAAAGTTTATTCCTTGTCAGGTTTTGGCATTAAAAAGGATGTTTAGCTTTGAGCGAGATGTTTTCGGAGGGTGTTGAGAAATATGGCGGATTAACTTTTGAGGTTAGTTTCGATGGTATAAATAGGGAATACTTGGGGAGACTCGGTTTTAGTATTTTACGTGTTTCGAAATAGTGGATAAGGATAAATTGGAGATTCATATTATTTTCGATAATATCGAAAATTTGTACGGTTGTTTTGTAGTACTTTTCAAATTTTTATACCCTCGATCCTTTTGATTCCTCATCATCAAAAAAATTAAGAATAAAGAACATTTTTCAATCTTCTTCAAAAAGATTTTACCCTTTATCCAATCAATACCAAAAAAGTCCCTAGATACTCGCTAAACCGAAGTAAAACTACATGAAAATCAAAATCGCAATAAAAGTAAAAAAAGAATCCAAGAAAAACAATTCAATCAGATAGAATTCAATCGTACGAGGAGTCTCTATCGATATCGATATCAAACTATATATTGCTACACTTTGACCAATTTTTTAACCTAAAATCACCAAATAAAATAAAATATCGTCCTATACAAGATGATGGAAAGAGATTTGTCATATCGACGCACGGATCATAAATACATGCATGTGCGTGCATATGCGACACCACGAACCGATCCAACAGGACGTTGGCCTCTCGATTATACGGCAAGGGGGACAGGAGTCGCCCCGTGACAAATAGAGGGTGGTAGAAAGAGAAAAACGTGAGGAGGGGAGGAGACGGGGAGAGAGTTGTGGTGACGTCATAACTCGGTCAGTGAACCGTCGAGCGCGTGTCTTACGTGTTTCAAAAACATTCGGCGCCGTCTCCCTACGTGCATAATACGCTAAAGCTGCCATCGCCTCTCCTCCTCTCCTCTCCTCTCCCCCTCTTTCCCAACGTGTCACGTCACGTTGTTTTCTTTTCGCGGGCTCTCGTATTTCTTCTTCGTGCCTTTCTCTCGCTCCATCACGACCTGCCCCCTGTCACCGCGCACTTATGGACGCGCCTTTACACGCGTCGTTCCTTCTTCTTATACACGCCGTGTTTTCTTTGCCGAGAAAAGTGACGTTTTCTTCGTGAAGAAGAAGAAGAAGAAGAAGAAGAAGAAAACGAATAAAAATATTTAAGTTGCAAACAATTCTTGAATTCGTTCGTTATTAGGAAATCGATAAAATCTTTTTTTAATCTGTCTTCGATTTTAAGAGATTCAATACGAGACACTCGGTATAACAATGTAACAGCAATCGTACGTACTCCTTTTCCCGCTCGTTTTCTGCGCAGTTTTCTTTTTTAGCGACCAATTCGTCCCAATTTTCAGTTTCTCAGCCTTCGGCCAGCTTTTCATTTCTCCCGCCAGCGGTGCATTGTTCTCTCCGTTTCCGTTCACGTGTTTTTTTGCCCGCCCGGCCAGTTTCTTAACCGTTAAGCGGGTTTCCTTTCGTAGCCGCCTCTCGATTTCCTCCTTCGCTCCGATGGAACACCAGTCCTACCGGTGATAACGTGGGACGCCAACACGCTTTCCAATCGTTATCACTTTTCGCATATACGACGCCTCTCTCGCCTTTCTACTTTTCCTTCCTTCTTCTTTCCTTCTCCTATCGTTCGTTATTATCGTCTTATTTTCATCTCAAGTTTGAAAGTGTAAATCGATGCAATTATCTCGCCAATTACGCTTCGACAATTTTATCTTCAACAAACTTATTAATTAATTCTTTAATCCTTCGTTATTATTAAGACAAAAAACGTGAACGTATCCCTAATTTGTTCAACAATATCTTATACCACGCAACCAAAAAAATATTTAAAAAACTACTTAAATATCTATAACTGAATAATTATATATCGATCCTCGTTTCTTTCCCTCCGCTATTATTCCCCAAACCTAATCCTTTCGATCGACTCGAAAAATAAATTCCTCGAAAAGCCGTTCTACGAATCGTTTCGCTTTCCCTTTTCACCTCGTCGTCGATAGCACGTCGTCGTCGTGGTCGTCGTGGAAAGCAGGAGATGACGTTCACGGTCGTGAGCTCCGTTCTGGAGCGGTCCAGTTTCCCGCTGGCCGAGAGACGACCGCTATACCCGCAGCGAAATATCGTCGGCCGCCACTTTCTCTCTCCGCATAACGGATCCTCTTGTGTAACGGACTCCCGGCTGTCGAGAAAATGGCACGTTCGTCCGCGGCGGCCAAGGCAGGGTGTGTCGACCGCGGCGGCGGCGGCGGCGGCGGGATTCGCCTTAAGCCCCGTGCACACGATTCGAATGGATCGCCGGCGCGTGACGAACCGACATGACCGGGAAGAAATTGGCGGTTTCGTCGAAATGACGAGGTTTCTTTTTTTGAATAAGGATTCGAAGAATTTTTCGAAGGTGTTTCTGAGTTAACGGGCGTGTCTCGTGCTCGTAAAGTTATAAAAATCGTGTTGTAGGAAATAATTAACGCGAGAGAAATTCGTCAACGTATCGGTTAATACGTTCATGTATATTTGTCCAAACTTTATGTATCGTATCGTTCTTCCATATCCTCTGTTTATTTCTAACGAAGAAATTTTTATTCCGTTACTCGGTTCGTTCATTTTGCAATTGCGATTGGATAAGATCGGATTGAAACAAGTTTGAAGAAGTTGGATCGCGATTAAAAAATGGATGAATTTGGCGGGCGGCCAGGCGCATGCGCGGATCCGGCAAAATGGCGGGAGAGACGAGAATCGAATTTCCTTTCATTAAGCGGCTTAATGGTTTCGTTCGAGTGGAATTTCAAATAGGCGGCCAGGAAACAATGGGCTGTTTAATTGGCTGTTTTACATTGATTTAACTTAACCAACCGCGTCGAGAGCCATTATCGGCCGTTTTATATAGTTGCGCATACTTTCCTCGAATGATTAAGTGGAACTATTAATCAGTCACATAATAGAATTTTAAAAGCCCACCATTGAAGCGCCTGATTCCAGCCATCCATTCGACCAGAAATATTAAGTCGATGTAATCTCGACAGAGGCCGAGAAACGATCGATCCTAATTGACAGATTTATGCGGGCGACAAATTGCTCAAAATATACAGGGTGTAAATATTATTCGTGGAAGGAACTTTTTTAATCTAACTCTTAAGAGCCAAAACAAACGTACAAAAGTTAGCTATACCGAAATATTGATATCTTGGATGGATGGACAATGCAAAAACAGCTTTCGCAGATCTTTCATGTATACCGATATTCCATTGACATTTTACGGAATTTAACTTCGATGCACGAAATTTTTTCAGTTATGGACGCATTTTATGCGTCACATTTCGAGGTAAATTAAAATAGTAAAGGACCCAAAATGAACACAAGAACGAAAGAAAAGAACGGAATGAAACCAAGAAATCCCCATTTCCCCCTAGAAAATAACTATAAATCTGGAACGTTGTAGGGAGAGAAATTCATTTCCTCTTCGATTTTCACGCGACGTGAATTCCATGCCGACCGCGGATCAATTTCAACCGCGATGGAATTCCAAAGGCGACAGCGGCCGTACGTTCCCTTCGGCTCCAACACGGCCTGGCCTCGCGTGTCCCCGAATTATCAAACGCGCGCGTGAACGCGTTTCGAGGCGAGGAAAGTCCATGCCGCTACGTGCACAGCCGTCCAAGAACGATGGTGGCCCGTTCGCGCTGTCGAAGGTGTGGCACGTCGCACGGTGACACGAAACTTCCTCTCTCGTTACAAGATTCGCGGTTTCCTGCGTTACACAATTCTCCTTTGAATCATTAACCATCCTTGAAGGAAGGACAGTTTTCCTTTTTTTCTCCCTCCCTTTTCTACCGTTCAATCTCCTTTCTTCAAATCGAAAACGAACAACAAACAATAGAATAATGGAATAAAAGAAGCAAAGATTCGTTCGAAAAGAAATCTTCGACGAGAAAAAAGAAAAAAAGAAAAGGAGCGAACCTTAAAAACCGTAATGTCGGTTTCGTAAGGAGAGGGGGGGGGGGAGGATTGCTGTTGCAACGTTATCGTAATTGATTTAACGATCGGAGATTAACGAGCGGAGAGCGGTGCATCCCCGGGGGTACGTGTCAGATGGTAATAATAGACACAAAGTGGGCTGGACGTTACGAAACGGAAATGCACGTCCACGCCGCCCGGTTTTGCTTACATTGGTGTTTAATGCGTAAACGGGGCCGTGTCTTGGACTAAAAGGCGGCCCCCGCTCTCCGTGAAGTCCATCCGAAAGATACCGATCTTCCATCGTCGTTCTCCATCCACTAACCACTCGTCCCTCGCCAATTTAACCCGCCTCGATCTCTCTCCTCCTCTCCCCTTTTTTTCTTCTTTTTCCTCCCCTCCTTAATTTTTTTCTCTTTCTTTCATTCGTTTTCGTTGTTTGTTTTGATCTTATCCGATGTTTCTGCTGCGTGTATGTTTCAGTACCAGGCGAGGCTCAGGCTTCCGGACACGTTCTCGCACTCGCAGAAGATGCAGTGCGTGGATCATATCATCGAGGTCCTCGACCTCGCCACCTGCCAAGACACCAGTGAGTATCAATTCCAACGATTGATGGAGATCTATCGCGCGAAATATTTCGAATTTAATATTTAATTGTTGCTTCGATCATTGCATAAATTTTTGTTTCGTTTAAATAATTTTTAAAGAGTGATGGAAAAAGAGAAACGTGACGATAGGGCACACAGACGAGAATTTTTTCCAACGACTGTTTAACGACTTCTTTTGCAATTTTCTCTGTATATTCACTTTCCAACAAGCGATAAGATTAAACGTTTCTAGCGCGGTGGAACTGGGACGATCTTTCGCCTCGCGAGCACGTATAAATTCGCCGTAATTTGTTTATGGGCGGCGAACGAGATGCCAGTGGCAATTTACGACTTCCACCGGTAAGAAACGGGGCGAGCCACGGTCGTCGCGCCATAGTCGTCGTCGTTGTTCCGGCGATTTCGATCCGCCATTTCCGGGATCGTAACTCATTCATCTTTCGCCGTTAAAGGCTCGTAGAATCGTTTGTTATCGAGCTCTGTGCGTTAACGTGCTCGCGAACGTTTCTGGCCGCCTTTGGAAAATCCTCTTTGAAATCTTTTTTTTAAGATTTACAGCTTTCGTTTCGAACGCTTTGGAGAACATGATATTTCAGCTTTGATTTTTTTGCTACGATCCTTTGAATTTTGAAATTTAGCCGAAAAAACGAAAAGTAATTTTTTAATTGAGTGATATTAAAATCGAAGATATATCGAAAAAATATTTCATGTTTAATTCTATGAAATTTAATAATTAGTAATTAGAATGTTCGAATGAAATAGAAATCGTAAAAATTTTCTTCTAGAGTGAAAATCGAACAATCCTCGTGAATGGAAGATAGTTCCGTGAATTTTTCGTACACAAGTAGCGGAAATTATTGATTAGATATTAAATTCGATTGCTTTCCGAATAGATGAGATTCGTTTACGAATTTTTTACCAATAACAACTTTGAAAATCGATTGATTTTCACTAAAATTCTGTATTTCTAATGGAAAAAAAATCTTCGAATTTTAAACTAAACTATTCAGAAAACAAAAATTTTTATTTCCAGAAAAACTAACCAACGTTAAAAATGAACACATGAAGAATTGAAATCAAATTTGGAAATATAAAACTTGAATTAAAAAAAAAAAAAAACAATAAGTGATATTTAGTTACGATATGAAAGAACAAAAGAGCATCGTATTTTTTTTTTTTTTTCCATTTCATCCAAATTACCGAATCAATGAAAAAGTGAAAGGTGCAGCTCCGAAAAGCGATCTCTGATAACGAGAATAATGCTTTTATTGGATACCAATCCAACGTTTCATATCAACCACGCATGCGAAAAATCATTTTTCTCCGTTTATTTTTTTATTTATTTTCTTTTCTTCCTTTCATTTCGACGGAGAGGAGGTTTGACCCGTGTGTCTCATCGTTGATTAACTCTATCGATCGAAATCTTTTCCTTTTTTTTTTTTTTTTCTTCTTTGCACAAGAATGTCACACAGGTTTGCCGCGTACGTAATCCAATTTCGAGTCGTTTTTTGCGTTCGACAAAGCGCGAGCAACCCGGACAATACAATTTTACGTTTCGATCGGAGAGAGAATCCGCGGTACGGGAGAATTTTCACTCATTCATTCCTTCTATTAACCGGTGATCCGGCGAATTTCATATCGAGTTTCGATCAATTTCGGGAAATGGGATCGATGGGCAATTGCGGAAATATCGTTATAAATGAGAAGGAATTTTCCGTTTCTCCTTTCGATCCTTCTTAATTCTAGGATGCATTTTGGAAAAACGGAATAATTGGATCGATTTATCAAATCGATTTCTTTCCATTCGATGAGTATTATTGTTAAAAGTACATTTTTTAATTTTTTATTTTCTTCAATATGAAACGCATTCCGTTTATATTTTTAAGATGGAAGTTTTGTAAAAGAACAAAAATTTATTAGCGAGTTGCTCGATGAATTAATCGAATTGAAAATATAAAATTTGCAATTTTAAGTAAATTATTACACGCGAGTTATTCCGAAGGAAATATCGATCGATAAAATTTTAAATAATGATTTTTAAATGGTTTTCGATTATCTCCAAAACCTTCGTCGATCAAATTTATATTTCAAACGTGTCTCAGGTTCGTGGAAACCAACGCCATCATCCAAAGGATTCACGAAAGCGGATTCACAAACGAAATTAATCTATTTAAGAATGAAACTTTCAAGAGTTGCTCTCGATAATATATTTCTTTTCTCAAGTGGACGACGAATTCAAAACTGAGAACGTTCGAGAACGACTTTCATTCTCGATACACTGTTTTGAGAAAACAATTTTCACAAGAGATACTCTCGATAGTTTTTACTCTCTCGAATAGATTCGTAAAGTGTTGATACTCGTTATTGTAATTTCCATAAATAAATCGTAAACGATACCTTTCCAACAAGATCAAACACCAATACTTTTCTGTGCGAATTATTATCCAAATATTCAAAGATCATACATGTTCAATTATATATTAATTAACCGCGGGAATGCGTAGAGACTGGTTTAACCGTTTTCTTTTTTTCTTTTTTCAGTTATCGGAGATTACACGAAACGAGGACTCTCCGGTGGCGAGAAGAAAAGGACGAGCATAGCCTGCGAGTTGCTCACCAATCCTTCGCTTATGTTGCTCGACGTAAGTTTCTCCATGTTACGAATAATATATAACATAATTTTAAAAATTCTCTACACGCGAATAGTGAATTGAACGCGGTGTTTTTTAGAAAGAATTTTAGAATAAAATTCTCGAATTAACGTTCTCAAAGACATTTGTTCGAGGAAAACAACGATATTGAAAACGATCGATAACTCGAATCCAGGAACCGACGAGCGGGTTGGACTCGCACTCGGCACAGGCGTTGATTTCACGGCTGAAGAAGTACGCGGAGCAAGAGGGCAAGAGCATAGTGATAACAGTGCATCAACCCAGCTCGAGGATGTTCCACAGTTTCAGCAAGATCCTGCTGCTGAGCCGTGGCCAAGTCGCGTATTACGGCCTCACGGCGAACATCGGCAGGTTTTTCTCCACAATCGGACTCACCCTGCTCCCCCACTACAACCCCGCTGATTTTATACGTGAGTAGTCCCATCCCGCCTCAGATTATCATTTAACCAAAACATCTTCTCCATTGAAAAAAAAGAAAAAGCTCGAATCATCGGTTGAATATCGAAATCAAATTAATTCCCCATCTCGTTCAACAGTGGAGCAAATAAAGGGGCCGGAAGAGGTTCGGGAGCGCATCGTTGCCGCGGCGAGGAACGCGAGACAGGGACCTGACTGCCCGCCGGAACTTCGCCCGGACTACAACCCAAGCCAACATCCGCTCTGCGACCATCTGATCCATTATCACGAGCACCACATCAGCCACAACGGTATTGCATAGTGCACGACCGGTCCCCGCACGCCAAGGGGCTATCGCGGATATATCGGGTTGGAATAGTTGCGGTTCCGGTTCAGCCGCTTAAAACTCGGGGGATCGGCATCTCTTCTCCTCTCTGCCTGTTTCTGGGTCAACGTGTCTGCGAGTTTCGATCCATTTCCCTCCCTCCCCCTCCCCCCTTCTCCTTTCTTTTGAATCATCGTTGGAATAATTTCTTTTCTTTTTTCTTTTTACGAATGCGAATAATAAAGAAATTAAAAATCCGCAGACACAGAATAACACGATCCCAAACGTATTCGTTCACATCAGGTGAGGAAATAAAAATTATTTTCCAAATTATTCCACGAATTTCGATCCATTTTTTCCGCCTTCTCCTTTCTTTCGAATCATCGTTGGAAATGATTTCTTTTTCCTTTTCACGAATGTGAATAATAAAGAAATTAAAAATCCGCAGACACGTGACGCAGAATAACACGATCCCAAACGTATTCGTTCACATCAGGTTTAGAAAATCAAATTGGAAAATTATTTTCCGAATTATTCGACGATTCGTGGCGCGATCGAGGCACCGATTTTTCCGACCCGAATGAATCGTTGTTAAGCGGTTAACGTGATCGTTCCTCCAGGCGTCGATCGATTAACGGTTTATAAATGGGCTGTCGAGCAATAAACACACGGGGATTTTTCGCCGCGGGGATGATTCTTTTCGTTTTTCCCCTTCCCCTTTCGCGTGCAAAGGTCGATCGCCGGGGGAGAGACGTTGAGGAGAAAACATGACCGACACGTTTTGCTCGTCGTTATTCCTTAATCCCGATCGTGATTTCCCTCGATTCTTTCCACTTTTACAACCCGTTCGACCACGCGTGGCTCGCCCATTAATCAGTTTTTCGAATCGAGAGATTTTTCTCGATTGTTAAAAATTCTTTATTATCTCTTTATTATATCCGTTTGTAGTTTTGAGATGATGATTATTCGAAAAAGTTAGGAGGGTTCTCCTCCACCATTTTTTCATCTTTCGTCGATGATTTACAGTGAAAGAAGACGAAGGTCGTACGCTGTGGTTAGACACACAAAGCCATGCCAGCAGCAGCGCCAGTTCTGCGGACGATGACTACACCTGGCAGTGGCCCACCAGTTTCTGGTCGCAATTTAAAGTGAGTATTTTCCACATATTGTATTTCCACGTTGGAACTGCATCGCGTGGAATAAGACACTTGTTTTTTTCTAACTTTTCAAACGCGAAATATAATTTAATAAAATAATTTCCGATGAAACTCGATCCTTTTCGCGAAAAAATTCGATCGAATCCCTTACTATTTAAAGATATCGTGGACAAAAATGAAATTCGTGACGAATTCGAAGGAAAAGGAGCAAAGATCGCCGAGAAACGTTGAGAAGAAGCATTTATCGTTAGGGAACGAGATGAACCGGACTTCGGTTCCGTTATTTGCCGAGAAGTAGTGACGTCAGTTTAGCAATTGAAAACAGAATCGTCACGAGATCGTCCCGCGTGATGCTCCGCTTCTCGTTAACTTTCCGATTTCACTTCCCTTCCCGCGCCATTTTGAATATTTTTCCCTTCCACTCGTCCACGCTATAGCAACAAACGCGCTCGACACGATGTTCAGCCAGAGATTAAAATAAAACGTTATATCTTAACTTAAGTAAAATTTAAATAAATCTCGACCGAAAAAAATTCCTATCCGTTGCTTATGGAGTAATGTATCTCCATAAATAAAATAAAAAGAAGAAGAGTATCCAATCGATGCAAGCAGCGCCTTCGAAACAACGAAACACGAAAGAGGAAAAAGGAGATAAATTTCCATTGGGTGGATAGGATCGTGAGATCGAAGGAAAAGAATGAAAAAGGAGAGAAATTTTTCGCGCTTAAGCGAAAAATGGCCGTCACACGGCCACATTCCGCCAAGTGAACAGCGGTTGGAAATTATGTAGGGCAACCGCGTCGATCTCCTCGGGAAACAACGTCTCGGTTTCGAATTGGAGGAGAGAAGCGGCTGGATCGGCGAAGGAGAGATCAAAAAGTTCGATCGCATTGCGCGCTTAATAGAGCATGCAACGGCAATATGAAAATTCAGATGAACGGTGTGACGGTATGCAGAGATATAAATGAAACAGGGAGGGAAATGGAAATGACATCGGGATTCGAGGCATTTTAAAATTCGTAGCCAGTCTTTTATCTTCAGCTAGGCGCAACGTCGTTCCAGATAGCATTCTGCTTGGTATTTCTTCTCCTTCTCCTTCGTCACAATTTTCTTTCCGTTTCGTTTTCTTTTGTTTTTCTGCGATGAAATTTTCTTCACTCTCGAAAGAATAATTCGAATAACTCGGTTGATTCGTATTACTTTTTTACAGAGTTGCGATCTCATCAGTTGATTTTTTTCAGATTTTTGAGACGCGTTTGGTACAAAAATACAAGCGTTACGTACGAGAGAGTGTAATTAAAAATGATCGGATCGAAAAGGCGATGAAGAAGCGAGTGAAATGGCTGTTTCGCATTGTTTATCATAAATCATGATATATGTTTGAAAGAGGAGTACAAGTTTCTGAAACTGGTTCCAGATAAGAAACAAAGCTTCGGGGATAAGCCTTTTGAAAAGTGAAATAAACAACAACGCGAGCACCGCGGTACAAGTTTCGAGAAGATAACAGGATTGGATAAGACGGCAACAAGTTGCGATTTCATTTTATTTCACGGAACGGAACGAATGAAAAAGCGACTTCTTAAGTCATTTGGATGAGAGACAATTTATCAAAATCAATTTAAAACATCTTGCATACACTAATTTATGGAATCAACAAATTGTAATTGTATTTTTCGTGGGAGGAAGACATCGAAGGAAGAATATTCGATTCGTTAAACGAAAAATTTTTATCGATCAATTTCAATTAATATCAATTATATCGGGATAACAAGAAATTCACTTTGAAATCGATCTCTAGGAAAAATTTCTCAATACGTATCGAAAGAATATCTAAATGATAACGAAAATGGAATTGACTTCAAGAAGAAGAAGAAGAAGATTCGATAAATTATTTTTCAAATTAAATTTTGACGCGCATCCACTTTTTATATAACTTTCCAACAGATAACAATAAGAAAAATTCCAACTGAAATATCAAATTTCCTCTTAAAATCGAGAATCAAGAAATCCAAAGAAAAAAATCTTCCATTATTTTCCACAAAATCAACGATCGGAAAAACTTCGAACCAACAGTCAAATTACACTCTTCCTCCAATAAAAAAAAAAAAAGAATCAATCTTATCCTTCTTTTCCAACTTCGATCGAATTCTTAATTTTCACAAACTCGAGAAATTCTTTCGCTCTGGAGAGATCTCCCCCACGAATTTTCCCCTAAGCTCGCGATTTCGGAAGAGATGAAAGAAAGAGCTCGGTTTAAAGAGGATCGCGGCACGCAGAAAAGAGAACTAGGCCACGTTTACGCGATTCGCCATATCCGGATAATTACAAACGACCGGTATGCCTGTCGATTGTGCTAACGCATCTCGCCACTTGCGTCACTTTTACCAGATTCGACTATTCCCTCCAGTTTTTCCCGAGCTTTGTCCACGACGGTGAAAGTCCAACCGTTTGACATTCACATTTTTCTCTCGAAAAATCGAAAAATTATGGGAATAAATTATGCTGGAAGAATTTTGATGAATGTTCCATTTTACGAAATGTAAAAATATCTGTGGATATAAGTAAACTTTTCGTCAAAATTAAAAGAGACATTGACTAAGAGACTTTTTCCCCCTTATTCTTCTCAGGATTTAAAAAAAAAAAGAAAGGAAAAGTGGCATCATGGTTGAACGAGTAACGAGCATTCGATTAGAACCTCTTCGTGAATCTGCAGCATCGGATCGATAGATCCTCGGCTCGGTTAATTGAGCGATTAATGCGATATCGAACCGTGGTTAAGCAGCGTAATATAGTTGCAGTTTAAAGAGTCCTTCGAAACCAGCATTGTGAAACTTTGCGTTCTATTTCCTCACGGCCGCTTGATATAATTGAACTGCACCAAAGAGGTGTACCGAGCAACCTTGCATTGTGACATTGTCGAGCACGGGGGCAGCGTTATAGCGAGCAGCACGCCGATTAATAATCAAGCCGTGTATCTCTTTCAACCTTACAACTCCTCCTTCAATTTTTAAGATAATACCTCATCAACCGCCGCGCGGCGATATCTAGAATGATCTTGTTCCTTGACATTTTGAAGAAAGAAATTTTTTTGTCGAATTTGGTCACGTTGAATTATACGTTGGTACTTGAATTCTTCTTCTTTTTTTCTTTTTTTTTTTAATAATAATTTTATAATAATTTTTTCTCTCTTTCTTTTTTTTTTACGAGGATGCGAGATGAGATATAAAAGGATAAAATGTGATAATTTTAATCGAGAGAATTTTTGTATTCCCAGATATAATGATAATCGCCGATAACTTTTTAAAATTATAAAATTGTTTGATCCTTGACTACCAAGCAGGGATCAAGATTGTGAACTTTGATATTTCCAAGTATCCAATGAAAATTTGCTTCTTGCATTTACTTTCAGTTTTCTTTTTTTTTTTTTTTTTTTGGAATTTGTTCATAAAGATTCACACTGCCCAAGGGAAATTTTGTAAATCACCTTGAATATACGATTGAAATCGTTGCTACTTCGATACGAAGGAATAATATAATACTTTCGAAATGATGGATTAAAAATTTCGAATAGGGTAAAGTAATATTCGAGTAATTAAATTAAAACGAATTTATCCTTGATTGATTTCAGGTATTATCAGAAAGAAACTTTCAAGAGGCACGGCCTCGGATGCTGTCTCGTCTCAACTGGCTTCAAACGATAGCTCTCGGCCTGCTTGCTGGACTGTTGTGGCTAAGACTTCCCAGAACCGAAGCGGCACTTCACGACATCCAAGGATGGATGTTCTTCAGCACCACGTACTGGATGCTGTTCGCACACTTCGGTGCGCTCTCCAGTTGTAAGTATTTTTTTTCTCCTCTTATTATTTCTCTCGTTTTTCAAATTTTATTCAAATTTACCGCGAAAATCGTAACGATAATTATTTTTCTATTTCTTTTATTCTTAAAGGCTACCTCCTTAAATTTTTCTTTCATCTCTCATTTCTTATTCGAGCGCATTAAATTCTTCTTAAAATTACCGTTTATTTAAAATGGTAAAATGGACAACTTTAACATTAACTCGTCAAAACTTCTCTTCTCTTTTACGACACGTCGAAACGAATTGAAAAACTAAGGCGTAAGGAAAAAAGAAGGTCCAAAGTTCGTCAGGTAGTGGTGGCACGCCACCGTGCACGTGGTTGCGCAACACACGTAGAGTCTCAGATATGAGGTAGATTGGTTAATTGAGGGACGACGACGTGACGCTCTGAATCGGCCATTCAGCCGAACGCGCGTTTTTTTTTATTGCAAAGATTTGCAAAGGACCAGAGGAACGGTCAATCAAGACGTTAGTATGTAGGTCGTGCCGTGACCCACTTACAATCCGGCACGGCAATTGAGGCCCTTTTGTCGACTGTTGCTCCAAGCTCGAAACGACCGTGACGAATCTCAGACAGGGGAATCAGACTGTATAAACGAACGAGTTAGAAATTCGCCGGCAAAAAAAGAAAACCGCAACTCCCTTTTGCGCCCTTTTCACGGAAAATTTATCCAATTTTCATTGCTCGAAATAAATCGCGTAACAAACGAATTGTTAAAAGAGAAAAATTTAATTTCTCGTAAAAAAAAATCTCGTCATCGTCCAACTTCCAGACAATATTGGATCACGAGAAATCGCGATCAAAGTGATGTCTCGAGATTCGCGCGTCGTAAAAGCTAAAGTTTCACCTAATTGAAACGTAGGAGAAAAAAGGGGACGCGAGCAAGGAATTCAGGTGAACAAACGAACAAAGGACGACGGTTAATAAAATTGAAAAGTTAATAGGCACTAGACCGTTTTAGGAGGCGCATAACTTGACCATAGACTCGATCGCGAGGCTAGCTAGAGTCGCCATACGGTTCGTCGTTTTACAGTCATTGTCCCTTATCCCCCGGTAGAAAGTGAAATGGCTGCGGCTAGACACTAAAAACGAACTTGAGAATGGGACGACGAGCTGTAAAACTGATTTTAGCGTCCTCCTCTCCCTTTTATCTCTCAGTCGTTCATCCTGACTTTTTTTTATTTTTTTTGTTTTTCTCTCTTTCCTCCCTCAAGATTCTCGGTATCATTCTCAGCAATTGGAGAAGATTGAATTTCTTCTGTTCGATAATTCTTTGGCCGATTTCTTTTTAAAGAAATGAATTTTTCAAATCAGGAATAATAGGATTTTTTTTTTTTTTTGGTTTCTATCGAAAGCGTTTCTCGAACGTATTAATTATTTTATTCGTGTATATAAAACTTTTCATTATATTTCGATATAATTTATTTCTTTTTTTTTTTTTTTTTTTTTAGTTATTTTACGAGCTGCTTACGAAAATGTTTCAAAAGAAGTTTTATTTATCTTATAATCACCTCGATATTTAATACGCGCTTTAATCTCTTGTCTTACGATACTCGGTTTAGCCTCTTCGACAGGCAATTAAACAGGCGAATGTTGATACATTCAAGGTCTAATATACTCATATTTGCGTATATCATCAATGTATCCTTTCATAGCCCTGAGAGAGAGGACAGAGGGGAAAAATGCTCTCTTTAATCCCGCCACTTACTCGAAGAACGTTTCGCAAACACTTCGATCATAAAAATCACAATTCTTCGAAAAACGAATCTCTTCTTCTCCGCTTCGAAACATCTCTTCATCCTTCCAACTTTCGACAGATCGATTAACCCATTACGCATCTGATCTACTCTACTTATAGGGCATAATTGCTCGATCGATTCGGTGGATTCACTTTCGATCGATGAAACGAAAACGAAATTTTTGTTCCAGTTCCTCCGGAACGCGAGGTGATCAACAAGGAGCGGCTGTCAGGATCGTATCGGCTCTCGGCCTATTACTTGGCGAAAATGGTCGGCGAGTTGCCGCTTACGATTACGTTGCCCGCTGTCTACCATATCATTAGTTACCCGATGTTGGGCTTCCACAGTCCGGCAGTTTTTGTCACCCTGCTGGCGTTCCTCTTACTCAACACCATCGTCGCGCAGGTACAACATCTCCCCCAGTTTCCTTTCGTTCGGTCGGTAAGATCGAACGAAAGAATGGTTCGGATCCAAGGACATCGCGATCCATCGCGAGATTTTTTTTCTCTCTCCTTTTTTTTAGCGGTTTCAAACTGGTTCCAGTTCGATCGAAACGCGCACGATGATCCTCCTCCCTCCTTCTTCTTTTTTATTTCGAAGATCGATCAATGAAGTAATATGAAACGCGCTTCTTGCCGACGCGAGCACAATGTTTCGATTGATTTAATATAATAATAAAATGATAAAGTTTATTATCGTATTCGATTCGTATTTAACTCGTCAAATTTATTTGGGATTGAAATTAATAGAAACACGGTGTCGTGATCGAAATTTTCTCCAGTCGCAGGGAAACGGAATTTCGCGGTTTCCTTTTTATCGCATTTTTATCGTCCCCCCCCTTCGATCGACCCAGCCCTCGACACTGTCCACCCACGGTATCGTAAGTCGCGTTGTGACACGAAAGGCGGCCACGATTTACTTTCAAAACCACCTACCTATTCACGGAAATGAGTAACTCGGCCGTTTCACAACCGTGTTTAATGCCGGCCGATCGAATCGATTAAAGTTCAACCGCGACCAAATTTAAATGACGCGCCGTCGAGAAAACACCTTCCTTCCCCCGTCTATCCTTCGCTATTATATCGTCATATCATTTCCAATAATATATCACGCGTGCAAATCAAAGAATGATTTAGAGAATTTTCCAAAAAAAAAAAAAATTCAAAGGTTCTCGTTTCAATATTTGTCACTCTGAATTCAATTAAATTAATTCTTTCGATGCAAAATAATAATAAATCGTTGACTTCGTTGATCCTTCGCTGCAATCGTCGTGCAGAAACGTTTTCCCTTTTCGTTGCAGAGCGTGGGATTCTTCGTCGGGGCATGCTGTTTGGATCTGCAGGTCAGCATAACCGCGTCCGCGCTCTACACGCTCGCGACGCAGTTGCTCGGCGGTTATTTGGCGACGGCGGTCCCACCGTGGCTGGCATGGGCAAGATACGCGAGTATGGTGCACTATGCCTATCAGAACATGCAAATCCTGGAATTCGGCGTTGGCGAACCGATCACGTAAGCACACGAGTGAATTTTCGAATTTTCCCAGATCCTAATTTCAAACTTGCGGTCATTCTTTTTGCGCTTACGAGACGTAACCCTTTCGCTATTTTCCTTGCAAAAACGTGCTCGAGAAGGATCGTTTACAATTCGATGGTGTTTATTGAAAAAAGAAAATCGTTGATATAAAAATATTAACCCTTTGCGCTCCAAGCCTTTTTCGCTCGGTGAATTTTCTTGGTTAAAACGATTTCAATTAAATAGAAATTAAAACGTATAAAACTTTTGTATTTCAATGTTGTTCTGTGTATCTTTGCAACAAAGAAAGAGAATGTTGTTGAATATTAAAAGTCTATATTGTTGATATTTTGACGATTTGTCTATTATTCTTCTTTTTCGTGTATTACATCTCTATTTTCCTCCTCTCTAATTCAATTTCTTAACGATTAATTTCATCACCGTATCCCACCGTATGCTTACGATACTCAAAAACTTCGAAAGCAATATTTCTATCGATCTGACTAATTTGAGATAAAAAAAAATCCAACCATTCGACGCTATATCATTCCACGCTTTACAAGATTACACGATTACACAGCCTAAGAATCTATATTTTAAAACAGAACCAAACACAAATGAATAATTTTTCCACATAAAATCGAGTGATGATCGAGAGTCACCATTGGAGCGCAAAGGGTTGATGACGAAACTTTTCCCTCGCAAGCCGATCCTGATCCTAATTTCAAACTATAACACGCGACGATTTTATTAACTCGAATTAACCCTAATCCCCAACTTCTTGTCGAACCAACACCGCAACATACGCCCTCCTTGCGCAGATGCTCGCAGCCAAGCAAGTTCCAGGAATGCAGGAACGCCACGACGATACCCGTTTCGGCGATCCTCGAGAGCCAGGGCGGCGCCAGGGGTTCCGGTCTTCCACTCTGGGCGAACACGGCCGTCCTCCTGGCGTTCCTCGTCGTATTCCGCACCCTGGGCTACCTGGTGTTGCGCTACTATCGCGTGCCCAAGTGAAACGGCGCGCGATGAGAACCGCCTTTCCACTGCCGCCTCCATCCACCGTGCGACACTGGTGGATCGGCCGCGATCGACGGACGTCGAGCCACGGCCTCGCCGCCCTAACGGGAACCTCGTCAACGTCGTGATTCATCGTCGTCGAGCTTCCGTTTCACCCTTCGTTTCGTGTGCATCGATCGAGATATATATATATATATATATAAGAAGAGAGAGAGAGAGAGAGAGAGAGAGAGGAGGAGGAGAGAAGAAGACGA